TCCCTACTGGGTGTGATGTGATGTCTACTGGGTGTGATGTGATGTCTACAGGGTGTGATGTGATGTCTACTGGGTGTGATGTGATGTCTACTGGGTGTGATGTGATGTCTACTGGGTGTGATGTGATGTCTACTGGGTGTGATGTGATGTCTACTGGGTGTGATGTGATGTCTACTGGGTGTGATGTGATGTCTACTGGGTGTGATGTGATGTCTACTGGGTGTGATGTGATGTGATGTCTACTGGGTGGGTGTGATGTCTACTGTGTGTGGTGTGATGTCTACTGGGTGTGATGTGATGTCTACTGGATGTGATGTCTACTGGGTGTGATGTGATGTCTACTGGGTGTGATGTGATGTCTACTGGGTGTGATGTATACTGGGTGTGATGTGATGTCTACTGGGTGTGATGTGATGTATACTGGGTGTGATGTGAAGTCTACTGGGTGTGATGTGATGTCTACTGGGTGTGATGTGATGTCTACTGGGTGTGATGTGATCCCTACTGGGTGTGATGTGATGTCTACAGGGTGTGTTGTGATGTCTACTGGGTGTGATGTGATGTCTACTGGGTGTGATGTGATGTCTACTGGGTGTGATGTGATGTCTACTGGGTGTGATGTCTACTGGGTGTGATGTCTACTGGGTGTGATGTCTACTGGGTGTGATGTGATGTCTACTGGGTGTGATGTCTACTGGGTGTGATGTGATGTCTACTGGGTGTGATGTGATGTCTACTGGGTGTGATGTCTACTGGGTGTGATGTGATGTCTACTGGGTGTGATGTGATGTCTGCTGGGTGTGATGTCTACTGGGTGTGATGTCTACTGGGTGTGATGTGATGTCTACTGGGTGTGATGTGATGTCTACTGGGTGTGATGTGATGTCTACTGGGTGTGATGTCTACTGGGTGTGATGTCTACTGGGTGGGATGTGATGTCTACTGGGTGTGATGTGATGTCTACTGGATGTGATGTGATGTCTACTGGATGTGATGTGATGTCTACTGGATGTGATGTCTACTGGGTGTGATGTGATGTCTACTGGGTGTGATGTGATGTCTACTGGGTGTGATGTGATGTATACTGGGTGTGATGTGAAGTCTACTGTGTGTGATGTCTACTGGGTGTGATGTCTACTGGTTGTGATGTGATGTCTACTGGGTGGGTGTGATGTCTACTGGGTGTGATGTGATGTCTACTGGGTGTGATGTGATGTCTACTGGCTTTGATGTCTACTGGGTGTGATGTGATGTCTACTGGGTGTGATGTGATGTCTACTGGGTGTGATGTATACTGAGTGTGATGTGATGTCTACTGGGTGTGATGTGATGTCTACTGGGTGTGATGTGATCCCTACTGGGTGTGATGTGATGTCTACTGGGTGTGATGTGATGTCTACTGGGTGTGATGTGATGTCTACTGGGTGTGATGTGATGTCTACTGGGTGTGATGTGATGTCTACTGGGTGTGGTGTGATGTCTACTGGATGTGATGTCTACTGGGTGTGATGTGATGTCTACTGGGTGTGATGTGATGTCTACTGGGTGTGATGTATACTGGGTGTGATGTGATGTCTACTGGGTGTGATGTGATGTATACTGGGTATGATGTGAAGTCTACTGGGTGTGATGTGATGTCTACTGGGTGTGATGTGATGTCTACTGGGTGTGATGTGATCCCTACTGGGTGTGATGTGATGTCTACAGGGTGTGATGTGATGTCTACTGGGTGTGATGTGATGTCTACTGTGTGTGATGTGATGTCTACTGGGTGTGATGTGATGTCTACTGGGTGTGATGTGATGTCTACTGGGTGTGATGTCTACTGGGTGTGATGTGATGTCTACTGGGTGTGATGTGATGTCTACTGGGTGTGATGTGATGTCTACTGGGTGTGATGTGATGTCTACTGGGTGTGATGTGATGTCTACTGGGTGTGATGTGATGTCTACTGGGTGTGATGTGATGTCTACTGGGTGTGATGTGATGTCTACTGGGTGTGATGTGATGTCTACTGGGTGTGATGTGATGTCTACTGGGTGTGATGTATACTGAGTGTGATGTGATGTCTACTGGGTGTGATGTCTACTGGGTGTGATGTCTGCTGGGTGTGATGTGATGTCTACTGGGTGTGATGTGATGTCTACTGGGTGTGATGTGATGTCTACTGGGTGTGATGTATACTGAGTGTGATGTGATGTCTACTGGGTGTGATGTGATGTCTGCTGGGTGTGATGTGATCCCTACTGGGTGTGATGTGATGTCTACTGGGTGTGATGTGATGTCTACTGGGTGTGATGTGATGTCTACTGGGTGTGATGTGATGTCTACTGGGTGTGATGTCTACTGGGTGTGATGTGATGTCTACTGGGTGTGATGTGATGTCTACTGGGTGTGATGTCTACTGGGTGTGATGTCTACTGGGTGTGATGTCTACTGGGTGTGATGTGATGTCTATTGGGTGTGATGTCTACTGGGTGTGATGTGATGTCTACTGGGTGTGATGTGATGTCTACTGGGTGTGATGTCTACTGGGTGTGATTTGATGTCTACTGGGTGTGATGTGATGTCTACTGGGTGTGATGTGATGTCTACTTGGTGTGATGTGATGTCTACTGGGTGTGATGTGATGTCTACTGGGTGTGATGTGATCCCTACTGGGTGTGATGTGATGTCTACTGGGTGTGATGTGATGTCTACTGGGTGTGATGGGATGTCTACTGGGTGTGATGTGATGTCTACTGGGTGTCCCATGTATGTGCATGAGATTTCAGTCACAAACTATTTACGTACATCAGTTCGTAGATGGCTGTAACATTATCTGTGTGACTTTTGAGTTATCCACAGCTCAGTTTGTGACTAGTTTTCCTGTTCTGAATTAGTTACAGACCTTGACTAATTAGTTCACAACTTGTCGTAGTGGAGTAATCACTCATATAACCAATGACATCTCTTAATCTCCAGAGTAGCTTGACCCATTTAACGAATGACATCTCTAAATCTTCAGAGTAACTTGACCCATTTAACCAATGACATCTCTAAATCTTCAGAGTAACTTGACCCATTTAACGAATGACATCTCTTAATCTTCAGAGTAACTTGACCCATTTAACCAATGACATCTCTAAATCTTCAGAGTAACTTGACCCATTTAACCAATGACATCTCTAAATCTTCAGAATAACTTGACCCATTTAACCCAATGACATATCTAAATCTTCAGAGAAACTTGACCCATTTAAACAATGACATCTCTAAATCTTCAGAGTAACTTGACCCGTTTAACCCAATGACATATCTAAATCTTCAGAGTAACTTGACCCATTTAACCAATGACATCTCTTAATCTTCAGAGTAACTTGACCCATTTAACCAATGACATCTCTAAATCTTCAGAGTAACTTGACCCATTTAACCAATGACATCTCTAAATCTTCAGAATAACTTGACCCATTTAACCCAATGACATATCTAAATCTTCAGAGAAACTTGACCCATTTAACCAATGACATCTCTAAATCTTCAGAGTAACTTGACCCGTTTAACCCAATGACATATCTAAATCTTCAGAGTAACTTGACCCATTTAACCAATGACATCTCTAAATTTTCAGAGTAACTTGACCCGTTTAACCCAATGACATATCTAAATCTTCAGAGTAACTTGACCCATTTAACCAATGACATATCTAAATCTTCAGAGTAACTTCACCCATTTAACCCAATGACATATCTAAATCTTCAGAGTAGCTTGACCCATTTAACCAATGACATCTCTAAATCCACTTACCCCACCCTACCCACCCAGTTACCCCACCCAGTTACCCTACCCTACCCACCCAGTTACCCCACCCTACCCACCCAGTTACCCCACCCTACCCACTCAGTTACCCCACCCTACCCACTCAGTTACCCCACCCTATCCACTCAGTTACCCCACCCTACCCACCCAGTTACCCCACCCTACCCACCCAGTTACCCCACCCTACCCACCCAGTTACCCCACCCTACCCACTCAGTTACCCCACCCTACCCACTCAGTTACCCCACCCTACCCACTCAGTTACCCCACCCTACCCACTCAGTTACCCCACCCTACCCACTCAGTTACCCCACCCTACCCACTCAGTTACCCCACCCTACCCACTCAGTTACCCCACCCTATCCACTCAGTTACCCCACCCTACCCACCCAGTTACCCCACCCTACCCACCCAGTTACCCCACCCCACCCACTCAGTTACCCCACCCTACCCACCCAGTTACCCCACTTTACCCACCCAGTTACCCCACCCTATCTACTGTTACCCCACCCTACCCACTCAGTTACCCCACCCTACCCACTCACTTACCCCACCCTACCCACTCAGTTACCCCACCCTACCCACTCAGTTACCCCACCCTACCCACCCAGTTACCCCACCCTACCCACCCGGTTACCCCACCCTACCCACCCAGTTACCCCACCCTATCTACTGTTACCCCCACCCTACCCACCCGGTTACCCCACCCTACCCACCCAGTTACCCCACCCTATCTACTGTTACCCCACCCAGTTACCCCACCCTACCCACTCAGTTACCCCACCCTATCCACTCACTTACCCCACCCTACCCACTCAGTTACCCCACCCTACCCACTCAGTTACCCCACCCCACCCACTCAGTTACCCCACCCTACCCACCCAGTTACCCCACTTTACCCACCCAGTTACCCCACCCTATCTACTGTTACCCCACCCTACCCACTCAGTTACCCCACCCTACCCACTCAGTTACCCCACCCTACCCACTCAGTTACCCCACCCTACCCACCCAGTTACCCCACCCTACCCACTCACTTACCCCACCCTACCCACCCGGTTACCCCACCCTACCCACCCGGTTACCCCACCCTACCCACTCGGTTACCCCACCCTACCCACTCAGTTACCCCTTCTTCCAAGTAATTTTTCTCCAATATATTTTCTTCTTCTAACTAAGCTGCACACTTTTGTTTCCAGTCCAGTTCGAGATCCTAGAGGCTCTGACGTCACACACTCGACCCGGATGTGAACAGGGGGATGTGAGTCTATTACTTGTTTGTAGTCTAAACTAATTACGTTCTAAATTCGTCGAGATTTCTTTCCTTATAACAATGCTGTGTTGAATAGAATTATTGAGTTTTAATATCACTTAGAAATATTAAAATTCATATTAGCGGGTCGTCCATAAATGACGTCACGCCCCAAGGAGGAGGAGGGATCGTATTTTTGTGACGATGTATGATGAAAACGAGGGGGGGGGGGGGGGGGGGGGGGGGCAGAAAGCGTCATGTCATACTTTTAAATTTAAAAAAAAAAGATTGATAGAATCTGAATTTTACTCATTATTTCGCGTTTTAGAAATATTTTAATAAATTGTAATATAAATTAAGTGACTGGGCGCGGTTATTTATTTTTTTAAAGAAATCGTTGTTTAAAAATAATTGGAGGGTGGTTATAGGCTGAGGTGTGACGTCATTTTAGAAAGTTCTGCATTTTTTGTGATGATGTGTGACGGAAGGAAAGGGGGGGGGGGGTAAGAATCGTCAAAAAAGCGTGACGTTATTGATGGAAGACTCCTTAGTGATTTTTGAGTTGCTTAAGCAGATGACAGCCTTAATTTCAACATCAGATGTTGCTTTTTATCATTTGATGTAGCATTGAAAAATATATCGTGTATGTCTACTAGAATTTACCTGCAGAAAAAAATTCACCGATGAAATACGTAATCGTTTTTAACTCACCAGCCGCCTCCTAGTACAAGAGTCAACACAACTTCCCGCCTCGCTTCATTCAGGGCAGCTCTTGCGGAAATTGACGGCTCTTTCCAAGCGTTCATTGTTGGATCTGAAGATGCTCATGACGTGAGAATGGCCAGATTTTTTTACCTTTTGCAATAAATTCAAGGGGGAAAAATGATTTTAAAAATTAAAGTACAAGATTACCTCACTTAGATTTCAACATCCGTATTACAATTAGATCTAGTATCCAATTTTATTGGCTTACATCACAAGTAGCCTGTATTTCTGGTGGAGGCCTCTGCATACTCTTTAGTCTTTATTTGACTGTAGTATAGGCCTATTAACGGTCGTCAGAGATAGCCTGTATATCTGGCTTAGTGCTATAAATAAGTTTCTAACAAGTTTGTTTACAAACAGAGCGAGTATCCAACAGAATATGATCAGAGACGGGCATACATATCAGGCTTCAGTGGTTCGTCTGGTAAGATCACGTGATGTTTTTTTTCGGCTGCTTTGTGCTTAAGGTTGATTGGATATTTTAATTATAATATCAATAAATTTCAATGCAATAAGATTATAGTATAGGCAGCAGAATAAAGGCTTTATTTAAAGTTAAAATAGCAGTTATTCAAGTTGTCAGTGAGGGAGGTTGTCAGTGATGCAGGTCGTCATTGAGACACTTTGTCAGTGTTGCAGGTTGTCAGTGTTGCAGGTTGTCAGTGTTGCAGGTTGTCAGTGTTGCAGGTTGTCATTGAGACAGTTTGTCAGTGTTGCAGGTTGTCAATGTTGCAGGTTGTCAGTGTTGCAGGTTGTCATTGAGACACTTTGTCAGTGTTGCAGGTTGTCAGTGTTGCAGGTTGTCAGTGTTGCAGGTTGTCAGTGTTGCAGGTTGTCATTGAGACAGTTTGTCAGTGTTGCAGGTTGTCAATGTTGCAGGTTGTCAGTGTTGCAGGTTGTCATTGAGACAGTTTGTCAGTGTTGCAGGTTGTCAATGTTGCAGGTTGTCAGTGTTGCAGGTTGTCATTGAGACAGTTTGTCAGTGTTGCAGGTTGTCAGTGTTGCAGGTTGTCAGTGTTGCAGGTTGTCATTGAGACAGTTTGTCAGTGTTGCAGGTTGTCAGTGTTGCAGGTTGTCAGTGTTGCAGGTTGTCAGTGTTGCAGGTTGTCAGTGTGGGAGGTTGTCAGTGTGGGAGGTTGTCAGTGTTGCAGGTTGTCAGTGTTGCAGGTTGTCAGTGTGGCAGGTTGTCAGTGTTGCAGGTTGTCAGTGTTGCAGGTTGTCAGTGTGGCAGGTTGTCAGTGTTGCAGTTTGTCAGTGTTGCAGGTTGTCAGTGTTGCAGGTTGTCAGTGTTGCAGGTTGTCAGTGTTGCAAGTTGTCAGTGTTGCAGGTTGACAGTGTTGCAGGTTGTCAGTGTTGCAGGTTGTCAGTGTAGCAGGTTGTCAGTGTTGCAGGTTGTCAGTGTTGCAGGTTGTCAGTGTTGCAGGTTGTCAGTAATGTTTCACTTGTATGACAACCTTGACCTCCCCAGGGACCGCTGTGGTCACCATGAGCAGCGCCGCCTTATGGACAGATGGCAGATATTTTCTGGAGGCTGAGCAAAGTCTGGACTGTAACTGGATACTTATGAGATCAGGTAAAGCTTGACCATTATAACTGGCTGGTCAGTGCGGTAAGGCAGGTCCAATGCAATGTTTTGCTGCCAAACGTCATCTTATTTAAAAATACTTATCTTGGTAATCTTTTCTCTGATTTAGGCTTGACTGACACTCCAGCCATAGAACAATGGCTAAATTCACAACTATTGAATGAGAGAAGCAACGTCGGAATTGACAAAAGTCTTATCAGCCATTGTAAGAAACTATTCTGCTACTAAAATTTTTATTGAATGCTTCTTGTTGATGAGAGGATGAAGGAAAAGCAATGGCTACAATGATTACATGGGCTGCTGGGCTTACATGGGCTGCTGGGCTTACAACAGCTGCCTGGCTTGCGTGGGCTCAAATAAAGTGTGGCCACAGCCCTTTGCTCCCAGGGTCTCCACAGGAATAAAGGAAGGCGTCCTTGATTTACTTTAAAAATATAACCTGAGACATGTATAAGTTGTTTAGTAACAAAGAAAGATTTAATGAAATAAATTATTTTTTGTACTATCTCAGTAAAAAAAAGTAACAAAGAAAGATTTAATGAGCTAATTGATTTTCTGTACTACCTCAGTAAAAAAGAAAGATTTAATGAAATAAATATTTGTTTTACTCAGTAAAAAAGAAAGATTTAATGAAATAAATTATTTTTGTACAACCTCAGTAAAAAAGAAAGATTTTATGAAATAAATATTTTTTTTACTCAGTAAGAAAGAAAGATTTAATGAAATAAATGATTTTTTGTACTCAGTAAAAAAGAAAGATTTAATGAAATAAAAGATTTTTTTGTACTCAGTAAAAAAGAAAGATTTAATGAAATAAATGATTTTTTGTACTCAGTAAAAAAGAAAGATTTAATGAAATAAAAGACTTTTTGTACTACCCCAGCATCCTTCCTAAGCCTGCAGAAAAAATTGGCTGCTTTGTCTCAACACCATTCACTGCTGCCTGTTGATAGCATCAATAACCCAGTGGACAGATCCTGGACAGTTGGTCGACCTCCACAAGCCAAAAATCCTATTCATGCTTTGGATTTAAAATTTGCTGGTACTTTCTAAACCTCTCCAAACACTTCTATCTAGACATAAAATAACACATTTAAATATTTGAAAAGTAAACCAGTTATACCACTAATTGTTCTTCACATGGTTTCTTTATGTAATTTTTCTTTAATTTAAAAATATTAGGTGTGCATTTGCATGTGTATGTGTATGTGGGGTTTATGGGTTTATCCCAAAATTGGCATTTCCTATATGTAACCATTTTTAAATGTTTATCTTCATGACCTGTTGAAAATAAAGTAAGTTTGGGACATAAAAACAGATAATTGAACAAATATCTTATCAGATTCTTTTGTCCTACTTCATTAGGAGTGAGCTGGGCAGACAAAATAAAAGCACTAAGAGAAAATATAACTTCCAAAGGTGCAGGGGCATTTGTTGTCAATGTCCTTGATGAAACTGCTTGTAAGATATCTATCTACTCACAATTTTTCATACACTTATTTATTTTTTGTTTATTTAATATACAAATAAAAGAGTGAATACCTACACAATTTTTAATACTTAGGTTTGTCACAATTGATTAAAAATATTAAAATTTTTATAAATGTCTGTTTAGGGCTCTTCAATTTAAGAGGTTCTGATGTTCGATTCAATCCATTTTTTCTGAGCTATGCCATTGTTGAACTTGATAGAACCAGGTGACAACAAAATAAATTTAGAAAAGTTTCATCATACACAGTCATTATTTCATATTTTAAACCCTATCCATCATACAGTCATTACTTCATATTTTAAAACCTACTAAATAGAACGTGGGATAAATTTAAGAGGAAAATATTTTTAACTAACATAAAAAAATACATTGTATTCTAAAATTTAAAACTAATTTTCAGACTGTACATTCTTGATAAAGACACCAGACTCACAGCAAACCCCACAGATCCTGAAACTAAAGTGAAGCTCGCAGAACATTTACAAACATCTGCCTCTGGCACCTGTGAGCCATCCAAAGCTAGAGAAGGAACTTGTGTAGAGGTCTACAGTTTTATTTCTACAGTTAACTCTGGCTGCTACTTAAATAACTAATGAACAAAGCATTCATTTTCAATGTTATTGCCCTTGTGTTTCATTAATTATTTGAGTTTTGTTTGCTTCTTTGAAAGATAGATAGTAATTAAACTTCTTTGACAGACATTTTGTGCTTTTGTTTTGAAAAACAAAAAATAAAATACCAACAATTCAACTTTGTAAATGTAAAAAAAAAAGTATTACAAAGACAAAATATTAACAAATGAGCACTGTAATATTTTTGTTTTAAATATTTTTTATGTAACTAGGTTGTTGAATATAATCCAATTAAAGTAGAAGAAGATTTGCAATTAATAGCACAAAGCAAACAAGTCTGGATTACCTTCAGTGCAAGTTTTGCTGTATATAGTGCTGTACAAGTAAGTCTGTGGCTGTCCTTCTATCATTTTGAAATCTTTTTCCAATGTCTGTGGTTTTAGTCAATTAATTGTCCTGGAAAGAAGTGGGTTCAATAGTATTATAGAAGAAAGGGAGAGTCTTTGTTGTTCAACAAGACAGCCATAATTTCTTTAAGAAGTGGCTTGAAATTTTTTTGTGCTCGCTAAGATAAAACTAAAGAAAAAGAAATACAAAATTAAAATGAACAACACTTTAAAAACAAAATATTTTTCAATATAAAGTTGCTGAGTGACATATTTGTGTTAGTACTAAAATAAAGACAGGACTCAGATTTTAACACTCGATAAATTTATAAAATATAGAGGCCTACTTCAGCGATCATGTTGCTAATGAAAAACATTCTTACCTTTACAGAATTCAAGTCTGATTGCTAAATCTCCACTAGCTATTGACAAATCTGTAAAAAATAAAATAGAAAGAGAAGGCATGCAGAGAGCTTATGTATGTTCATAATTTAATGTTTTGTTATCTAGCATGTTAACATGTAAATTTTGAACTCTATTTATATATTATGCATTACTGTTAACTTTACATTAAAATGGTATTGTATTGGTTTTTGCATAAGAAAAATATGCTTGGCATTTAACTTTTAAGTTTTTGTTTTTTTATAGAACAGAGATTCTGCAGCACTTATAAAGTTTCTGGCATTCTTGGAAAAGGAGGTACAAAAAATTCCAAATTAACTTATCTTATCATAGAAAGCTGATATTCTTTCATTCTCTCATAACTTTCATGACTTTTTGCCTTTACCCAAATTGTATGCATGTATTGCATGAGATTCTGGAATTTACAAAGATTTCAAATTGACAAGTTAATCTTTGAAGTTACTCTTGTTAAACAAGTGACAAAATTTTAAAAGACTGCTAAATTCTGTTTTAGATTAAAGAAGGCAGACATTGGACTGAAGTTACTGCAGGTGCTAAGTTAGATGAGCAAAGAAAGTAAGAATTTCAAGCTCATTTGGTTATTTCTGTTTTAAGCTCCTGTCTTACCAGATATGATATTAATTAAAATTGTTAAATGATTTTCTATAATTACTCTGAATTTGATGTAAAGAAGAGTGGTTCTATTTTTTAATGCAACTGGTTGTTTCACTTTTCCTCCTTGTTATAGGAAACTTGAATACAACAGAGGTCTGAGCTTTGAAACTATCTCTGGGTATTCATCAAATGGAGCAATCATCCACTATCGACCACTGAACCACACAGATAAAAAAATTTCAACTGACAGTCTCTATCTCCTAGACTCAGGGGGACAATACTTGTAACTTTTCCATAGCACTTAAATGTCATCAAAGAAAAAAAAATGTCCACTAATTTTTCCCATTTTATCATTGATAATTAGATGTTGAATTTTTATTTATCTTTAATTCAATAGTATTTTTACTCATTATGGAATAGTTTAATTAAGAAAAAAGTTGTTTTCAGTTATTTTTCATGGCATTAATTTGAAAGTAATAGACCTAGTGGTAAATGATTTTTCTTCTTTATTTGAAATTTGTGTGAAACATGTGCTTTAATTTAATTAAACAATAACAGACTTACTAATTATTTTACAGAGATGGCACAACTGATGTTACAAGAACAATGCATTATGGGAATCCAACCAATTATGAAAAAGTAAATTTTGTGCCATAATTTTTTAATTACTTTGGAATGTTGGTATTTTAGTTTTATCAATCTGATGTCATCAATCATTTTATTTCAGGAGTGCTATACTCGTGTTCTGATGTCATCAATCATTTTATTTCAGGAGTGCTATACTCGTGTTCTGATGTCATCAATCATTTTATTTCAGGAGTGCTATACTCGTGTTCTGATGTCATCAATCATTTTATTTCAGGAGTGCTATACTCGTGTTCTGATGTCATCAATCAACTTAGCTATGCTCAAATGGCCTGAGGGATTATATGGTTAGAAGTGTTTTAATTTTCTTTTAAATTTTAAAAACTTAATTGCTCAATTTTTTTATTTTTGTTATTCCACCGCAGTTGATATCACTAACTGTGTACAAGTCTCAATAAATCATCCCAATTTTTCTATACAAATGCTATTCTATGTTAGGGCGTCACACAATGTTTCTATACAAATGCTATTCTATGTTAGGGCGTCAGATTGATGCTGTTGTTCTATACAAATGCTATTCTATGTTAGGGCGTCACACAATGTTTCTATACAAATGCTATTCTATGTTAGGGCGTCAGATTGATGCTGTTGTTCTATACAAATGCTATTCTATGTTAGGGCGTCAGATTGATGCTGTTGCGAGATACCAACTGTGGGATGTGGGGCTTGTGTATCGTCATGGGACTGGGCATGGCATAGGAGCCTATCTTAGTGTTCATGAAGGTATTTTTTAAGAATTCATTTCATGTAGAAAGATTTTATATTGTGTTATCATTCCTAAAGGTATTTATTCAAGAGAAAGATGCTCATTCTGAGGTGAAAATTGAAAGGCCAATGAGTTCTAAATTTGTTTTATGATGTCCCCTGGACTGGTAATTGTTTAACCATCTTTCTATTCATGTGAAGTTGACAGCAAAAATTATTTGAAAATTGTTTTCTTAGGTGTAAGTTATGCATAGCAAGAGAACTAGGTGAAAATGACTCCTGAAAAAATGTACCACAGAACAGAGGTATTAGAATGTATACATTCTAAAATATGAAGATGTTGAATGTTTGTGTGTTAAAATAACATTCTTACAAACCGTTTCCCTCCCCCTCCCACAGGGGTGTCTGAACCACATGTTGTCAGCCCAACTTCCTCCTGTAGTCTACCATGAATGGACAGATTCTCTAAAAGTTTACAAAAGTTCCAAAAGATAGGCCTATGTCTTATTTAAATGAGGCTTCATTCAACTAATGCAATATTTTTACACCAGGTCCAGGGCGCATAAGAATTGTACAGACCCCATCTGCTAGTGATGAGCCACTTAGGAGCTACCAGTTCTTTTCTGATGGTCAGATTTTCTTTTTATAAAATATGTGCTTCAACATTTGGAAGAATTTAAGTTCACTATGAACTGAGTGTTAAGATGGAATGACCTGATTAAAAAATTGTCTATCAACAGAGCCAGGTTACTATGAGGATGGGGAGTTTGGCATCAGACTGGAAACAGTTGTCATGACTTCCCATTTCCAACCAAAAGTATTTTGCAGTGTTTGTTCTATCACAACCAAATGAAATTTTTTTTTCAACTTTGATATTTTATAAATTAATTATCATGTGTATTAGCAAATATAGTAGTCGGCTAGTTTTATTCTAACCAGAAAATAATTATAATTATTTATAGTAAAACAAAATAAGTATGTATTTATTTATTGTTTTATGTAATATATTCGATCCCTTTATTTGTAAGCTACATTTGTAGGAAATAAGGTCTGTTTGGAAGCAATAGTTTCACCACAACCTTTTGAGTTATCGAAATGACCCACTGTTTTTATTTAATAATACATCAACATGCATAGTCAAATGTGGAAGAGCGTTTGGATGCGAGTCTAAAGGTCTTGAGTTTGGATATCGGACTTTTTACTGTAGGGCATTCCTGGGTTCCCCCATCTCTAATGGGTGCCTGACGTAGAATGTAAAGGTGGCTGGGCATAGTGCTGACCACACTATCCCTTCATATGCTGAGGTATACAAACATATGAACTCTACTTCATCTGCCCAATGGATCGCTAGGTCTAAAGAGGAATTTTACTTTGTCAATATAATCAGACATCATACTAAATAAAGTAGATCTAATAGTAATTTGACATTTTTTAAAACATTTTAAAATAATCATTTCATTAAGGCCCCCAAACAGTGCCCTGCAAATATTCTGGCTTAATTATTAAGAAAAGAACAGGCTTGTGTAAATATGTACCTCTTTGTTGTCTTTTGATAGTATGACACAGCCAAGCAGCTGTTTCTTGAATTTCTTCCAGTCCAGCTGGTGCCATTTGAAACAAACCTCATTGAGCTGAGCTTGATGAACCATAACCAGGTTGGTATCATGTGACTCATCTAGTTACCTGTAGAAATACCTGATCTAGTTACCTGTAGAAATACCTGATGTAGTTACCTGTAGAAATACCTGATGTAGTTACCTGTAGAAATACCTGATCTAGTTACCTGTAGAAATACCTGATGTAGTTATCAGTAGAAATACCTGATGTAGTTACCTGTAGAAATACCTGATATAGTTACCTGTAGAAATACCTGATATAGGTACCTGTAGAAATACCTGATGTAGTTACCTGTAGAAATACCTGATCTAGTTACCTGTAGAAATACCTGATCTAGTTACCTGTAGAAATACCTGATGTAGTTACCTGTAGAAATACCTGATGTAGTTACCTGTAGAAATACCTCACTGTTGATGTACCTATGTAGTTTACCTATGTTTATATATATATATATATATATATATATATATATATATATATATATATATATATATATATATATATATATATATATATATATATCTGATACACTTTACCTGTTATTTGTTATGAAGGAAGTTAATTAATTTAATTCTAAGAAAACTCTGAAAATATTGTGCTGTAGATCTTACTTAACATTGAGTACAATAAGTTTGCTTGTGGTTTGTGCTGTAGATCTTACTTTACATAGAGTACTATATGTTTGGTTGTACACGCCCAGAAAATTGTATCTTGCAGGTGAAATGGTTGAATGAATACAATGCCAAGATCAGAGAAACTCTACTTCCTCTATTGACTGATGATGTGTTGGCTACCAATTGGGTGAATGCTCGGATAAAACAAATCAGCATTGAGCCATCTGCTAGCAGTACACCCACTCTCACAATTTCTACAGTTCTGGCTATAGTCACAGTCCTCCTAGCATTACATTAGCTGGACAACATCTTAGCAGTAGCTGGACAGTCATTGTAGCATTAGCTGGACAGTCAACCTAGCATTAGCTGGACAGTCAACCTAGCATTAGCTGGACAGTCATCCTAGCATTACATTAGCTGGACAGTCATCGTAGCATTAGCTGGACAGTCATTGTAGCATTAGCTGGACAGTCATCCTAGCATTACATTAGCTGGACAGTCATCCTAGCATTAGCTGGACAGTCATTGTAGCATTAGCTGGACAGTCAACCTAGCATTAGCTGGACAGTCAACCTAGCATTAGCTGGACAGTCATTGTAGCATTAGCTGGACAGTCATTGTAGCATTAGCTGGACAGTCAACCTAGCATTAGCTGGACAGTCATTGTAGCATTAGCTGGACAACATCTTAGCAGTAGCTGGACAGTCATCGTAGCATTAGCTGGACAGTCATTGTAGCATTAGCTGGACAGTCAACCTAGCATTACATTAGCTGGACAGTCATCGTAGCATTAGCTGGACAGTCATCCAAGCATTAGCTGGACAGTCATTGTAGCATTAGCTGGACAGTCATCCTAGCATTACATTAGCTGGACAGTCATTGTAGCATTACATTAGCTGGACAGTCATTGTAGCATTACATTAGCTGGACAGTCATCCTAGCATTAGCTGGACAGTCATTGTAGCATTAGCTGGAATAAGTAGCCCTACTTTAGTGACTGAGCTTCTCTGTCCCAACTATCCCAGTTCAGAGATTTTATTTTTACTTCTATGTATATTTAATTATATCTGATAGAAATTGTAAGCTAGAGAAGGAAAACCAAAAATTTGTGAAAGTAGATCCAAACATGTCCTAATATTTTGCAGTTGATGTCCTTCCTTCAATTATAAACTGTCCAGATTTTACTCAATCAAACCAAATTTATATCTCTACTTATTCAGTTATTGCACAAAAAGTTTTTAAATCAAGATTTATTTTTTATCTGATATTTCTTAAGTAAAAATTTGAATTGTATTTAAAATTAGTAATTAAACAAAATTAATGTCCTTTTTTCATTTAATCAATGTAATCAACACGATTAATTAATGTAATCAACATGAAAAATTAATGTAATCAACATGATTAATTAATGTAATCACACAATGGATTTGTTGCTTTAATTTTGTGGTATATTTTTTTTAGTTGGGAGAATGTATTGCAAGTGCAGTGTCACCACCCCCCCCCCCCCCCCCCCAAGATACAAAGTGTGTCTATATAACTTAAATATATGCCATTATGCATACATGGAGGCATATGTGTATAAGCTTGAATCACTGCAGACTTAATAGTAACAAGCTATAGTCTGTTAATAATATAATTGGATGCAGCATTGTTTGCACTATTGTTAGCGTCTTTACGTCATGGTGTCACCCCCACCCTCTTGTAATAATTGTTGATTTGTACTTGAAAAGCTATTTAACTTTAATAAATCATTAACGAAAATGGCAAAAAAACATTTTTTTTCCTGCTGCAGACTTAAGTTAATAGTAACAATCTTTATCTATAGTCTGTTAATAATAGTTATATGTAGTATTGTTTTCTCTATAGTAAGCACATTTATGTCATGGTGTCATCCCCCCCCCTCCCAACCCATTTTTTGCCTTGGTGTCACCCTCCTAAATGGTGTTATCAGGTGCAGTTTGCACCCCCCTCGCTATGCCTCAGAGTCATGATAAACTAGAATTAGCCTTATATAATTATATCAATAATAACAGGAAGCCCATGGCAATTTTGATTTATATTAGACTTTTTATGACAATATTTCCTATTCACAATCATAAAATTTTGATGTTGATGAAAGAAAGTATTTATAGATGAAACCAAACCTTGACAGATCATGAAAAGATAAGACAGTAGATGAAGCAAGGTTTGATAGTGGCATACAGCCACAGACAATGTGTAATGAAACAACTTTCAAACATTTTTAGTTTCTCTCAATACAGCAGTCAAAGATTGCAATCCTCTTGGTTTATTGTATACACACAAGTGTACAAATGATCATAGCAGCATTTTATTACAAGACAAATCATGGCAACATACAAATTAAAACAACACATCAGAAATTATTCTAGATTGATGAAAAATACATCTTTCTCATTGTAAAAGCTCTAAAAACAAAATGAACCCTAAAACAATGAATACAATACACACCATTTTCGTACCTCACTTACCATAGCGAATTCATTGATTATACAAGAAACCACATGGAACAGTGGATGATCAAAACTTAACAGATGGTTGCTTTAAAAATAAATAATGTGATGAAAAAAACAAAATGCTGTGTGTGACCACCAATGCTAAGGTCTGTGTAGCAGCTAGGTAAGCTACACAACTTCCACATGACAGCATCACAGAGTTTTGTTTGTAAACAAGTACTGAGATGGGGCTTGAAAAACTGTTGACAAAAAACTCATTCAGAAAATCAATGTATAGAACAGTTAGGATGTAGTATCCATGTATAGAACAGTTAGGATGTAGTATCCATGTATAGAACATTTAGAAGATATCAACAATGTCTAGAACTAATGGTTCAGGCAAACATGAGTTCTGCACCAAAAGAGAAGTTTTTCAATGTGTTAAGGCATCTATGGATAAGTATTCTTTAGCCCTTCTGTAGTTCCTAAAAAATCAGGACATTGGAAATTATCTTCCAACTACAACGTAATTTTCTATCATTGACAGTTGAAGGGATATCTGAAAATTGGCCAGCTACAAGATTAGGTGCTATCATGGAAAGCTGAAGGGATATCAGAAAATTGGCCAGCTACAAGGTTAGGACCTAATTCTCTAGCTACCTGTGTCTTTGAGGGCAGTGAGTTGAGTAATGAGGATACCCTAGTGCCCTGGACAGAGTCTGAATGTCAGTGTTATAACAGCCTGGTGAATTAAGTCAGTTCCTCAACAAACTCTACACCTCATACCAATCATTACTTTTCCAACAATGATGTATCACAATAAAAAAAAAAACATGAGCATTAACATATACTTAAATATCTATTTACACAATATATACAGCTAACAATTACTCTCTAAACATTATATATACATATGCCCATAAACTGAAGGTGACTGGTATGAGCTTGTGTTCACATCTTGCTTAAAAAGCAATTGGTACTTTAATTTATATTTTTAAAATTTTAATTAAAACAAAATGTGGCTGTTATACCCATCCAAACTGCTAGATATCACTAAGCTGATATTTATCTTGTAAAATATTCAGCACAATGACTAGGCACAATAAATCCTAAACCCTCCAATCAAATACTAAACATTTTTCAACACACAATGTAGAAGCAAATCATTCTTAAATAAAACTCATCAATAATCTCTTTAACTTGCATAAGATAAATTAAGAAAAAGTGAAGATGGCAGTTATCCTTCTGCAAGCTACCAGACACAGTGTGAGTCATTGAATTGGTCACACTACAGTGGTCAATTGGTCACACTACAGAGGTCAATTGGTCACACTACAGTGGTCAGTTGGTCACACTACAGTGGTCAATTGGTCATACTACAGTGGTCAGTTGGTCACACTACAGTGGTCAATTGGTCACACTACAGTGGTCAGTTGGTCACACTACAGTGGTCAGTTGGTCACACTACAGTGGTCAGACTGTTGGGATGTAGTCAGGTACACAAAAGTCACAAGTTTATGAGACAATGTGCTCCAAAAACTTAAAATCAACAGCAACTAAAAAATTTTTTAAAGTTTCCATTGTTCTTTGCTTAAACAATTATTTTCATGCCAATGAGATTTGGTATTTTTTTTTTTTTTTTACAAAAACAGCCGCAAGTCAAGGCCTATAGAGTACAACAGCGCAAGTCAAGGCCTATAGAGTACAACAGCGCAAGTCAAGGCCTATAGAGTACATGCTAATTGCTACCACCCTGCCTGGAGATTTTATAAGACAACTTTAACACTGCACTTATCATACATATTTACAAACAAAAGTCAGACACTCAGTTTCCTATTACAACCATTAATACTGAGTTGTCTATGAGAATAGCAGCGTAACTCTACTGTCATCTGTCACTTGACAGCCACCAATGTCATGTGTCTCAGAAGCCCACATGATTGCTCACTGATCTAAAAAGAAATTGGATCATCTTTAAAGTTGTATACTACACCAGGTGCCTGATACTCCATGTCACAAAAAAATCACTCCACAGCAAGGGATAAACCTGAATACTGTTCCAATTGTAAGAAAACTATCTAACAAAGCATACCATATTTTTTTTAAATTCATAAATTTTTATTTGACCCACTTCTAAAATACTTTAGTAAACAATTTCTTCTGAAGAGGCTAAGTAAGCCTGAAATTGCTTGATGTGTTTTATGAATTACATATCTAGAGTATCAAACTGTCTTGCACTGGTCTAATATTTGAACACAAGTTCCATCTTAATGGTGCTTTCTTGTAATAACTCAAAGATACAGAGAAACTTGCTCAAATTTTACATAGGCTAGAGCTAACATGGTTTTTAGCTGATCTTTTTTGTGAGGCAACACAAGATATACAGACATTTATCAAATGTAGCTAGTGCACATTTGAGTTATTGGTGTTGTATTACAGTGGACAAAAAAAATTTCTTTATAAATTGCCAGTCATGTGGAACTGGAATTTATTAGTGAGGACAAAAATTTGAAGTTACATATTTGTACCGATTGCTTAAAAAAAATACACATTGATAAAAATTTGGGAATGACACCTCATTACACCCAATGCTTAGTTGGAGATAGTTTATTACAAGTCTTAAGAAAGAAATGAACCAAAAGAGAGATTCAATTCTCAAATTAAAACCCTGAAGATTTAAATGATTTAAAGATAACATTACCACAGTTTTTGAAATTAGTTTTAAAAGTGTCCACTCAGAAGTAACAAGAGAATTCAACATATACCTCTACTTTACTAAAACTAATTTAGTAATAAACACTACACAAATAGTCATTCAAATGAACAATTCGTACGCTTGTGGTTCAATGAACCGTTCATCATATAAATAATTATCCTAATTAAGCATGGATTGCACAAGGCTCTCAATCAATAACAAAAGGATCAGTTTCAGTGCCCACAAGATCCTCACTATCTTCCATACTTTGATCCCCCATACTGGCAGCGCTGGTGCTTGCAGGTTCTGACGTCAGAGTTCTGCACATTGTTTCTGAATGCTTTTTTATGCTCGTATAGTATTCTTCTTTTTTAATTAACAGCTCTTTGAGTTTATCTAGCCTCTCACCCTTAAGTCCTAAGGATATTTGTGTCTTTATAAATTTCCTCATATTTTCTACACCCATTCTTAATTCATCTATCATAGCTGCATCTGAACAAGTTTCTAATGGAATAGTTGATATGGTAGAAGAGACAGGCAGCGCCCCGCCCTCATCACTCAGTGAAGTATCAGAGGTCCGTGGGTTTGACGAGTTATCAGGAGTCACTGGTTCTAGGGCTAGATCAGTGTCAGAAGCTGAGGAAGCTTCTGCAGGTGGAGCTACAGAAAGGGTAGAAGAGGAAGTGGTAGAAGTGATGGTGGTTGTTGCTACTGAAGTGCTGACAGTTGTGCTGGTGACAGCTGATGAGACAGTGACCGAGGGTGTGGCCAAAAATGTTAAGGTTTTGGTTGAGAGCTGACCAAAAGATGAGGGCACAAGGATACCCTGCCGCCCACCTGTGGCTGCCTTGTAAATGATGTTAGAGCCAGCAGGCCTGGTGGACAAGGCATTGGCTAAAGAGGGGGCTATAATCCTGATGCCCTGCATGCCTGGCCTGACTGAAGAGACCAGAATGTTTTGAGGTAGTAAGGACCTGCCACCAGAAGGTAGGGAGGGACTAGGTACACTGTCCACTGGCTCAGTTTTTATCACAACACCGGGAGGAAGGGGATACTTCTTCTCCAGCTTTCTGCGCTTTGCTGCTCGCTGCTCAGCTGTTAAATCCTGATCTGCACTGTGTTTTCTTTGAGGTAATAAATCACTACTGGCGGTCAGCCTGGTCAGTGGGCTGGAATTGGCCACACTACCCAGGGTGGCAAAGCGTCCAGGGGTGCCTGTTGTTGTACAGCCTGGCACAAATATCCTGATGGACCTAAGGGATGAAGATGCTTGATTAGGTACTATTGCCCGCAGGTTTGGCCGTATGGGCACACTGCGTACTACAGTGGTTGAGTTTGGTGCTGCCATGGGCGTTATGGTGGAGGATAATGCTGTGGTTAGAGAGCTTGTCAGTCTTACGGCTGAGGTAGTCCCTGGGGCTGAAGCCGTGTACCCTGGGCCTGTGGCCATCAAACCTGAGGTAGTGAAGACTACAGGCCTGATACCAGTCGTGCTGGTCAGTCCAGCCAACTGGGAGACGGAGATGACGGGTAAGCTGGACAAAGAGATGTTCTGTTGACCAGTGGCCAGAGATAGGCTCTGGGGGGTGGCATTCCTGCTGACAAGTGGCAGCCCAAACAAAGGCTGGAAGGCAGCAGAGGTCACATTGCAGTGAGCAGCTGGAGCCATGACAGGCCCTGACAGCGACTGTAGAGGGGCACTACACCTGGCAGTTTGAGAAACTATAGAGCTCAGTGGGATAGGATTTTGCATGAGCAGTTTCTTTGTACCTGGAAGTAGCACTGGATTTCCAGAGTGAGCTGGAATGGTGTTAACAGCTCTAGAGGGGACCAGCTGCAGCAGGACATCTTTGCCATCCACTTTCATCACACAGTACTGGGGCTTTTGTAGGCCAGGGGATGGGACTGTGATGGGCTGAGAGGTTCCAGCGGGCACAGGATGGCTACCCACTGGTGGCAGAGCACCAGGGAAAGGTGGGAAGAGAGGTGTTGCTGGCATGGGTGCTTGCCGTGTTAAACTAGGAAGGATAGAGATGTGAGATGAGCTTGTCGCAGGAGGGGTGTGGCTGTTGGGATCTGATCGTCTACTCTTGCTTTTAGCACTTTTCTTCTCTACACCAGCACTCTGGGCTACATTTTCTGGAGCCTTTTTATTGGGGATCGGAGCTTTGGGATAAACAATCACCTCAATAACCTTTTTACCATCTTGACGAAAAGATTTATCCACAACGCTTTCTAGATCTGGGTATTTCTTTGGAGCTGAGGTATCCAGAGATGGAAAAGCCAATGAGGTAGCATTGGTTTCTTGGCCGGGAGCTGATTTGTTTTCACACTGGTCGGTCTTCTTTTTCTTTTTGTGCTCTGGTACATCATCACCACTGAGGGCTAAGTCTTTATTTTTTGAGCGAGATCGTTTTCTAGAAAATTCATCTAATATATCATCTTCAGAGGGCTCAACATAGCTTATATGTTTATCTCTTTTCCTTAAACTGCGCTTGACTTGAAAACTCTCCAGATCTGCCTCATCAAGCAGTACAGTTTCCTCAAATATATTTTTGTACATGGGCTCTTCCACAATGATTACCCCTTTCCTCTTGCTTTTCTTACAAATAATGGATCCAGATGTGCACATATCAAGTAGATGGTTGACTCGAGTTGACAAGGGAAGAACACTGTCAATGAGCTGACAAGGAGCAGAACCCCGACACTCTGTCAGATCTTTATCAACTTTTGTCAGGACTATATAGCATGGCAGGAATGTGTTTTTTATTTTGTTTTTTTGGCTCACCACATTGTAGTGGGACCTTTTTGTTGGGGGTAATTTTTGACCCGATGGTTTACGTTTGGTTAACTCATTTTCTTTTGAAGAAGAGGTTGAAATATTTGAGAAATCTTCAAAAGCTATTGCACTGTCCCCATTAAAACCAATCTTTGGTAAAGGTCCATTCTCTTTTAGGTTACTGGGGACATCCAGTACATGAAGATTCTTATCTGATCCATTTTCTTTTTGGTTACTGGGGATATCCAGTCCATGAAGATTATTATCCGATCCATTCTCCATTTGTTTACTGGGGATATCCAGTAGATGCAGATTCTTGTCAAACCCAGGATTAGCTTGAGGTGTCAAGCTACTTGACTGCTGAGAATCACCTGGAGCTAGATGTTTTATCGAGGCATCCTGCATGAGCTGATGAAAAACTTCTTGATAATCCAGTAGGTTGGACTGGGAACCTCCTTTAGAGCTTAGAATTATGTCTTTTTGAGAATTCTTAGATTCAACAAATTCATCCTCTGAATTCACATTTTGAAATAAATAATCATTCTTTCTTTCAGAGCTGGACTTTTTCTTTTTCTTTTTGTGTTTTTTCTTATCTTTGGAGAATGTTACACCATCAGAAATAAAATAGTCTTTACATGGAAAGTCAAACGAACTTATTTTTTTTGAAATTCGTGCCTCCTCTTGTATAGTTTCACCTGAGCTGATGATCTCAAGATCAGCTTTAGAAATCCTTAACTTGCCCACCCTTTTACTCTCCTCTGATTTGCGATGAAGATCATTATCAGCTGTATCACTTTGATGAGAAGGGGTTATAGGTGGGGAGTCTGTTGATTCTGGTAAAGTAAACAAGTGCCTAGGTGACTTGTTAGAATCTGCAGGAATGGGCTCCACTGTTGCTGGTATATTTTCAATCAACATGCTGACACCAGTTGCTGAGCTTGTGCTGCTATCTGAAGGTAAAGCAGTCACTTTTTTAAGTAAATCAGGTTCTATCAAGGGATCCTCCCCAAAAGTATGCTCCTCATGATGATGTCTAGTCACTGGATCAGGATCTTCCATTCCTTCTTTGACCCCTGGGGATAACAAATCAGATTCAGGAGACTCAGGTGGAAGAATATGTCTCAAGTTTTTTGAGGCGCTCAATGTGTCCAATCCATTTGCCACTTCTGCCATCATTGCAGAGTTTGACAAGCCCAGGCCCAATGGGCCATTACCAAAATCTGCTTTCTATGCTGCAACCACTGATGGTTTCCCACAGCTCAAGATTGTGATAATAATTTTCTGTGGGTTGAAACAATAAAAATATTAGAAACTAATAACAAAAACTGTGTTATACTGGTGTTTAATAATGGAATTGATGAAACAAAAAATGAGCTATGTTACTGGTGTTGGTAGGTATACACTATGTATATTCTAACAATCGCTAGAAAAGGCCATTAATGAATACTTTCTTTCTTTTTTTATTGTTAGGGCCTATAAAAAAGCCAGCTTAAGTTTTAAAAGTTTCAACTTAAGATTACTTGCATTCATTATCAAAGCATCAATTTGACATCTAGTTTTATGAACTTCCTTAAGGAATAAATTTGAATTGTAGACTGCAATTTAGATTTATCTGTTACTGATTCAGTGTTTAGGCCTTTCTATTAGAAGGGTAAGTGTTATACCAGGTTGAGTGTATGATGCCACAATAGTGGAATCTTCTAAAAAAAAAAAGGAATCTAGTTAGTAAAAGAATGGACTTCATTAGGCCAAAAATTTTAGTTTTTAGACTGATTGTAATCTAACATTTAACATTAGGTCCTAATGACCAATACGAATTCTATCGTTCTTGATATAAAAAAGAATTAGGCCATAATATGTAAATTGAGATAGGCCGATAGCTTATTCCAGATCTATTATAATTTATAACTTAGGCCGGGGGAATGTTTATACCAGTGTCGATAATAGAATCTTCTTTAAAAAAGGGGTGTTAGGTTATAGGTAGTTAACTAAATACACACATTGGTAGCTAATGTCAATGCTAACCCTGTCCCTAACCGGGTTACCCTACTAACCCCAACCCTACCATATGCCTAACCCTAATTTCTAACCATAAAATTAGTCGAGATCATATAGTCTATAGTCCAATATACCGAAGTCCGAAAATAGTATTATTGGACTATTATCGGAATCTAAAATAATCCCTTAGGCCTGTAGGCCCTAAGCTACTAACCCTAAAGGGTAATAAATCTAGGCCATTCTAGGGACTTACTACTTAGCACACTTCAATGTTGATCTTTATTCTTATTCATTAGCCTATCTCTAAGCCCTTAGCCAAGCTCACTAACATAGTTACTAGAATCTAGTTGCTAGTAGATCTAGGCCTAGATCTAGAAGTAGAATACTTGATCTATCTCTTTCTACTAGCTCCATCTTATCTTGCTCTAGAGTCCAGACTAGCAGTACTAGACTGGCTCAAGCTACCTAGATTCCTAGATCTAGATAATCTAGTATTGGGCTTAGGCCCTATTAAAATTAGGGCCTACTCATGTAGCTAGAGTCTAGATCTAGAATAGATTATGCTTGTATAATAAATTAATATTGTATAGGCCTAATAATAATACGGCTAATAGAATCTAGTAACTGTAATACAGTGTAATACATGTCATAGTAGGCCCCTGCCGTAGAGATTCTCTAGATCTAGACTAGAGTCTAGAGAATCTATGAATCCATCTAAAAATAATAAAATATCTAGATCTAGATCTAGATCTAGAGTCTAGATCTAGGCCTAGATCTATCTAGTAGTATTTAGATTCTAGACTCTAGTAATTCTAGTTTAGCTTTAACTTTACTAAAGCCTAGATCTAGATTCTAGAATTGATCTAGAATCTAGCTGGTATCTTAATTGATTAAATAATCAGGAATATTTGTTTTTCTAGAACATTAATTTCATTGTTTTGCAAAAGGAATTGAGTGGAGTAATCCACAACTTTGGCTGCACAATTCCGAAATGGTTTGGTTATCAACAATACAACCATTGGTGGGCCTCTAAGTCCATATTAAACGAAATTGTGCCTAAGTTTAAACAACCGTGTATGCTTGAAAAATATTAAAGGTATTTAAAAAAACAACCTAATTCTTTAAAAATTCGCCGTTGCTATTTTTTAGTTGTTGAAGAAATAGATCTAGATTATTGAACGAGACATACCGCAAAAGGGTTAATTTCCAACTTAGAGTAGCCGCCTTTGATAGGAAAAAAAATAGAATCAATCCATGCTTGCTGAAGAGGCTCTTCCGGAAATCGATGACCCCGTATTCACAAATCTAAATGAGACGGCGTTATTAGCTGCTTATCCTTTAGCAGTAACTTATTCTACTTTCATAAAAAATTAAAAACCAACACATTTAAATATATTACACAAACAAGGCCGAATCGTGTTTGCCGAAAAGCAAAAATCTCTCCCGGAAAATGTAGAACATTTTGATATTTAGCGCCATCTAGCGGTAGATTTTGTTCTATAAAGGGCGATAAGGTCCGTAGTTAAGTCACGTGATTTTGTTCTGGATCACATGATATTTGTTCCATTTTTTCCCCTTTGATTCCATTTGGCTCTTTGATGCAACAACCGCTCATAGCGTAATTGAGTGGCCCATATTTATGTCTGTAGAAGTATTTGGAGTCATCGTCACTTTTGCTTTGGAAGTATTTTGGTGTCAAATAAAGTCTATTTAAAAAAAAAAAAAAAAACTGCGTTTAACAATTGGGAAGTGTCATTGACATGTAGTAGAGTTGGATTAGATCATACAGGCCAATATCCCGAGCACAATTTCTTTTTGCCCCACACTCCACACCCCCTCCCCCCCCCCTCCGCCACATCCCCTGAGTATGTCCACCCCCACCCCCAGAGAAACATCGAAAGAAACGCTGAAACCTAACAACATTGGGCACATGCCGACAATGCAAAAAAAAAATGCTTTTAATTGTATTGTAGATTAAAGTCTACCTAATTTTTACTTTCTCGTATATACGAAGTATAGAGAAAGTCTTGTAATCGTGCAAAAAAAAAAATCGAGATTTTTGCAAATCTCGACGTTTTGCATCTCACTGATACGGAAAAACATAATTTTGCAATCTTGTCCGTATGTCTGTGTGTCTGTGTGTGTGTCTGTGTGTGTGTGTGTCCGTGTGTAAACACGATAACTTGAGTACCGTTACAGCTAGGTTGATGAAATTTCATATATAAGTATTTTATCAAAATCGTAGATCCGTATCAACTTTTGAGCGATTTCTGACAACCGGAAGTGGTACTTTTTCTACTTTGAATTTTTCAAAAGCCTATAACTTGAGTACTATTTCAGATAGATAAATGAAATTTCACATGTAAGTAAAAGATCTAATTCTCTACCTTCTGTTAAATTTTGAGTAATTTCCGTTGACCGGAAGTAGTAATTTACGCTACTTCCGATTTCTCAAAAAACTAATGTAAATTTTTAAAGTAATAATAATATTGCGCACTATTATGCGCTTTTTTATTTCGCGTTCACTTGGTGTGCAATTAATTTGTCTACGAGATTTTATTCTATTTTTAAAACTTTAAGTATTTAAAATGGATTAAAAATCATGTCTATAGCCCGAGTTCCCATCCCCTGTTATTTTATATAAGAATATTCGAGAAAGTTTAGGGGAGATCACTCCCGGTTTATTTTTTATTCGAACAGTATCCACTTAAAATAAACCGGGAAAGATATGTCTGAAAGAAACACTGGCCAAGACAGATCGACATGACATAACCCAGGGGCTTCGCTAGGTCGGGTGTCACCCTCCCCCACAAGAAACAAAGTATATATATATATATATATATATATATATATATATATATATATATATATATATATATATATATATATATATATATATATATATATATATATCTGTGTGTGTGTGTGTGTGTTACGGTCAAAGCCCGAAGTCGGCCAAAGCGAGCATTGGCCAATATCGCCTCCCATTAACCTCCCATTAAAGCCTTTGGCTGGCCAATCCGCGGACTGGCCATGGTGGACCGGCCAGTCCGAATTAAAAGATCTATTGGCTAGGGACAAAGTCAAAATTGGAAGATCATGAGCAGATTTTTGTTTTTTATTTTCTCGTATATACGAAGTATAGAGAAAGTCTTGTAATCGTGCAAAAAAAAAATCGAGATTTTTACAAATCTCGACGTTTTACATCTCACTGATACGGAAAAACATAATTTTGCAATCTTGTCCGTATGTCTGTGTGTGTGTGTGTGTGTGTGTGTGTGTGTGTAAACACGATAACTTGAGTACCGTTACAGCTAGGTTGATGAAATTTCATATATATGTATTTTATCAAAATCGTAGATCCGTATCAACTTTTGAGCGATTTCCGATAACCGGAAGTGGTACTTTTTCTACTTTGAATTTTTCAAAAGCCTATAACTTGAGTACTATTTCAGATAGATAAATGAAATTTCACATGTAAGTAAAAAATCTAATTCTCTTCGTTCTGTCAAATTTTGAGTAATTTCCGTTGACGGGAAGTACTAATTTACGCTATTTCCGATTTCTCAAAAACGCATCTAAATTTATAAAGTACTAATAATATTGCGCATAATTATGAACATCTTTATTCGGCGTTCGCTTGGTGTGCAATACTTTTTACAAGCTTTTATTTAACTCACTTCCTCTGTCTGTCGTAAGTCTGTCTTGACGGAAACGCAGGAGTGAAAATTCGGACAGTTCTACTTGACCGACACGATTCACAGTTGGCACGTGGGTCAAGACATGAAGACAATGCAATCTGAAACTAAATTTGACTTAATTGGATGCCTAATTGATTTTTTATGAATTAATTAAAATTTGGACCGAATTAGTAGGCATGTCTAGCCAACCACACCACACGCGTCATCAATAGCTGCGCCATCACGACCACGTAATGGCTGCGTTCAAAAACAATTGCGCGCCTACTGAACGTGATATTCAGTAGGCGCGCAATGGTTTTTAGTCATGTAACTCTATTGTAGATAAAACATGTAAAGTACTGAAAAAAAATTCATAAAAAACGTTTTAATAACAAGCTTTTATGTAATGATGCACTAAAAAGTAGAAAATAAATTATAGACTACTATTTAAATAACTATAAAGAAAAGCGTGGGTGTCTTCCTTAACATTAGTAAAGGTATCCAATAGATACTAAAGTGACCCACGCTTTTCTTTATAGTTATTTAAATAGTAGTCTATAATTTATTTTCTACTTTTTAGTGCATCATTACATAAAAGCTTGTTATTAAAACGTTTTTTATGAATTTTTTTTACAAGCTTTTATTTAACTCACTTCCTCTGTCGTCAGTCGTCAGTCTGTCTAGACGGAAACGCAGGAGTGAAAATTCGGACAGTTCTACTTGACCGACACGATTCACAGTTGGCACGTGGGTCAAGACATGAAGACAATGCAATCTGAAACTAAATTTGACTTAATTGGATGCCTAATTGATTTTTTATGAATTAATTAAAATTTGGACCGAATTAGTAGGCATGTCTAGCCAACCACACCACACGCGTCATCAATAGCTGCGCCATCACGACCACGTAATGGCTGTATAATAGATTGACGACAGAAGCCTGTGGTTGTATATAACACGTTTAATGGGTCTAACTACCACGATGGTAATACCAGAGAGGGCGGAAGGAAGTATACAAGGGACATCACTCAAGATAACAATATTATAAATATAACTAATACAGAAGAGTGAGTTCCCTTGACCTCACAATTATTTCAATCTATTACATCCCTTTACCCTTAGAACACAATAACACATCTCTCAATAGAACAATTGATAGTATCCTAAAATCACCAATTATATTGTAACATGAACACTATGGTAGATTACATCCTTACAACAATGCACAATATGCCACAACATAATCAAGATACAAAACAATAATGTCAAAGTCCTTTTGACCTTTAAAATCATAGGTCTAACTTATTTGGGACCTTGATTGTCCTGCTTGACCTTCTCAGTGGCTTTTGATTTGGTGACTCAATATTCTGACCATCTGGATTCTCTATCTCAGGAGGTCTAGGATTTAAATCATTAACTCCAGAATTTACATTTTCTGACTCCAGACAACTTGGTTCACTCATATCAACAGAACTTGGTTGTGGAACAAACTGATTTGGTGTGAACTGTTCAGATTTGGTGGGATTGGCAGATTCACACTTATTATCTGCACAAGTTATTTTTAACTTTATAAGGCACAGGTCCTGTACATTGAACAATTTGACCTGGTATCCATTTTTCCTTTCTCCCATAATTTCTTAGATACACATTCTTATTAACACCAAATTCTCTTTCAATGAATGTTTGTCATGATCTAATGGAACTATTTTTTGAATTGGCATCTGAAAGTATTATGCTATTATTCAGATCCTTAATTGACATAGATTTCTTTGATTGATCAATTTTCTCAGGTAATCTGATAGTGCTTTCCTGGTAACCAAAAATACTGTTTACAAGTAATATTCTGGACCATATCACTTTGCAACTGTCATTTAGTATTTGAAGTAGGTGTATTAAATGGCAAAAATCTTTTTTTCTTTTCTTTTGATGTTACCCTTTTAGTTTCTGTAAGTGCTAATGATGTTAGCAAAGTTGTTTGATGATCACATTCCTTCTTACTAATGTATTTTCTTTAAAACATTTGAAATTGCCATATCACCATAATCATTTATTAAGTTACAAGTACTTTGTTTAGGCAACTCTGACTGGTAATGGACTGCATCTTCTCCATCTTTTATATTATCTTCACAAAGGGTTTTATTTCTTATTTTATATGGCCTTAAGTCATCATTCACAGACTCTTCAGGCCAACCATTCTTACAGTACTCATATACTTTTATTAAGCACTCATCTTTTTGTGTTTCTCTTTTAATATCATTCACATTTATATTGGAGTTATCCATGATAGTGAAGAGAACAACTACATCTTCTGGTACATAGCTCAGGCTTTGGTTTTTTAAAGGTAATCTACTAAGACTATCTGCACTATTCTCAGATCCAGGTTTGTATTTCAATTCATAATTGTATGCAGTTAGTGTGATAGCCCATCTTTGAATCCTTGGTGAGGCATGCTCAGGTAGGGTTTTGTTTTCTCCAAATAAACCTAGCAATGGTTTATGATCTGTAAAGATGGTGAACTTCCTACCAAACAGAAACTTATGAAATTTCTTAACACCAAAAATGATGCCTAAGCCTTCCCTATCTAACTGAGAATAATTTTTCTCAGCCTGGTTCAAAGATCTACTGGCAAAAGCAATGGGTCTGTCACCCTTCTCATCCATGTGGGACAAGACTGCTCCTACACCATCTGGTGAAGCATCACATGTTAATATAAGTCTTTTCCCTGGGTCATAGTGAGTTAGTAAGGTGTCAGCAGACAAAGCCT